AGTGTGGATGGGGGAAGGGCCGGCCCAGAGTGGAGAGGGGATGCAGTCATGCTTCTGTGCACGGTCCTTGGCCTCCCTGCCTGTCCTTCTTCAGGAGTAGGGGAGGCAGATGGAGGGGGCATCCCTGCAGTGAGCCTGCGGAGGGGACCGAGGCCCAGAGAGGCCGAAGGAGAGGAGGCCTGGGGCCTGCACTCTTGGCAGGGGAACTCGCGCCCGGAACTGCTGGCCTTGAGGGATGAGGCTTCCCCTCGCAGCCAGTGGGAGCAGAGGCGGGTCCCCGGCACTCAGCCTGCTGTGGGCTGAGCGGACTCGGATTGTGGACACCAGCATTTGGGCAAGGACGCTTGTGTGGTTCTTGTTGGGGGAGGTGCGGCCCTCAGCCCCGAAGGGCAGCGGAGTCCAACTCAGAGGCGTCCTCGGGACCCAGCTCGGCCCTGGAGCGAGTGTACCCAAGACCACCAGGTGCTGAGTCAGTGGGGGAAGCCAGGCGTCACGCCTGGTGACACTCCCCCACTGCCCGACGTCCCCCAACAGAGGTGGCCGGCAACCCATTTACATGAAGAAAGAAAAGCCACTCATGCCCCCTGGAACCCACCTCCTCCCAGCGAAGAAAGCACCCAGTAGCCCCTGCTGATTCTGGTTTTTTGGGTGTTTTTTTGTTGGGTTTTTTTTTTTTTTTTGCTTTTTGGGTCACACCCGGCAATGCTCAGGGCTGACTCCTGGCTCTGCATTCAGGAATTACTCCTGGCGGTGCTCGGGGGACCCTAGGGGATGCTGGGAATTGAACCCGGGTCAGCCGCATGCCAGGCAAACGCCCTCCCCGCTGTGCTATCACTCCAGTCCTGCCCCTGCCGATTCTGATGCCCCCAGAGCCTCAGCAGTGCTTTGCCCACTCTGAGGGAGCACTAGCTCATGAGACCCCCCTCAGCAGGGGCTGCCTGGGCCGAAGGAAGCAGCACTCTGGGGTGCTGGGAGGCTCAGCGTGAGGCCAAGGGCCCGCGAGCGACCCGTCCCCTCCCACGGCACAGTCTGGGGGGCTGTGGGCTCGGGGCCCACCTTTGAAGGCTGCTTGAGCCCACACAGAGGAGCAGATTCTGAGCACAGAGATGTGCTGCTTTTCCTGTCTCTGAACCGAGGTGGGCGTCGGGGACCCGCCCGCCACGCTCTGCCTTAGCCTCTGTGCCCGGGCTGGGGCGCGTTTACCCAAGTGTATAGGGTGTGTTGGCACACATGTGCCCGTTTGCCCGGGCGTGTGTGTATGCAGCTACGTGTGCGTGGACGTGCCTGTGTGCGGGGGGCCCGCCCGAGACTGCACAGGTGGAGTGATGGCCTGCAGGACCTCGGAGAGAGGCAGGGAGCAGGCCAGCACCATGGAGAGCTCAGAGGGCAGGTAGCCCTGGGGCCTTCGGGACCGGAGCTCAGGCGCTGCGGGCGGGTACGGCCCCGCCCTCAGAGCCAGGGTGTCCTAAGCTGACCCCACATCCAGACGCCGTCCCCACCTCGGGGGGCCTCCGGGGGACCCATGGCCCTGGTGTGTCCAGGAGCGGACCACCAGTCCGGGTGCTGCAAGTTGCAGTAATTAGGAGAGTTTTGTAACAATCAGTGGTGCTGGAGGGGTTTAATTTGCTACAACCAATTAGGGATAAATTACGGTTCTCTCTGGTGTGGGAAACACGTTTCCACCCGCTGAGGGGCTGCACCCATCGGCCCTGGTGGTGCGCGGGCTGGGAGTCCCCTTGGGGAGTGGCCGTGTCCAGGGCAGGCCTCGGCATCCTCTCTGGCCCGGGAACTTCTCCCGTCATTTCTAGTCGCTTCAGGGCAGAGCCTGTTGGCGAGCTGAGTCTGCTGGGAAAACTGCCCACTGCTCCGAGTCAGGGCTCCTGAGGGGACTGGCAGGAGGGACCCCCGGGCCTTAGCACCAGCTGCTGCCTCTCACAGCCCTCACGGGGGCGGCCCTGAGGGCCAGCAGGGTTTGGCCGCTGATGGCCCGGCTTGGGCTGCCTGTGGCTCTCCTCATCTCAGCGGCATCCCCTGGGAGAGGCCGCCTCTGAGGTCACGCCAGGGCCAGCCTCACATTCTTACAGCCTGAGTTTTCATTCAGCACCTGGGGTTGGGGGGAGGCTGTCTGTGGCTTTGAGGGGCCCCGGAGTCAGTCAGCAGGACAGTCCATGGCCCAAGGCACGGCCTGTGCCAGGAGCAGTGAGGCCAGCTGAGGTCTCTCCCAGGAACAGGTGGGCGGCCCGGGAGGGGGCACCCACCACCCTCCTGTCTGCACCCGGGGCTCGGAGTGACCCCTCAGATAGTCCCCAAATTACCCTAACCGGCCCTCCTGGTTCCGGGACCTTCAAAGGGGTCCAGACCCCAAAGGCTGCCCGGTGAGTGCTGGCTCAGGGCACTGTGTCAGACGGGCAGCCCCAGCACTGGGTTCAAGTACACGGAGGGGTCTCGAGCACAGAGAGCCCAGCAAAGAGGGGCTGCTTCTCACCCTGCCTGTGTCTTATACGAAGGGAGATGTTGCCTGGACGGCTGCCCAGCCCAGCCTGCCTGGGGGGCGGGCTCTGGGTCCCCAGGCCTGGGTGGGTGTGCAGGGCAGACCCCCCCACCCCACCCGTCTGCTGGGGCAGAGCCGAGAGCAGCTTCTCGGGTGCTGCCGGGCGCATCGGTGACTGGGCCTGAGCTCTACTGGGCACCTGGCCAGGGGGCTGCAGCATGGACGGCACTGGACAGAAGGTCATCAGGGAGGGCTGGGGACGCTGCTGCCATCTGTCTCAGTGCTGAGGGCCATGGCCAGCTCAGTCGTGCCCCCGAGGTGGGGTGTCCAGCTCTGACGCCTGCGTTCAGAGGTCACCTGCGCTCTTGGGGTTCTCCTGACCCCAGTGTGCAGATCACCAGCACTGCCTCCCATGCCTCCTACCGGTGATCCCACCCAGCCAAGTCAGAGCTCCCCACATCTGCCTGAGGACCCCAACCAAATCAGAGACCCCTCATGTCTGGCTGGAGACCCAAGCCAAGTCAGGGGAACCCCACATCTGCTTGGGGATACCAACCAAGTCAGGGACACCCCACATCTACCTGGCGACCCCAACCAAGTCAGAGACCCCCATGTCTGACTGGGAACCCCAACCAAGTCAGGGGAACCCCACGGGTACCTGGGGACACCACCAAGTCAGAGACCCTCACGTCTGGCTGGGGAGCCCAGCCAAGTCGGGGGCACCCCAGGTCTGCACGCTGTGTGGGACCCCTGGCCTCCAGCACTGCATCTCTGCACCCCCTACCCAGGCCCACCCACCCAGAATCACTGAGACAGAAGGGCTGGTCCTCACAGGCCCCTCCAGGCTTGGATGCTTCTCGACCCCCCCGCCCCAGACCCACTCCCCGCAGAACCTCCCCTCCAAAGTCTCCTCTGCAAGGGGGTCCCAGGAGGGCTGGCCTGGGGGACAAGGCCCCAGGGTCGACACCTCTGCTGGGGCTGCAGGGCCCCTTTCTGGTCCCAGACTGGGCCACTGAAGGGGTGTGGCTGGGTCTGCCTAGGGGAGGGTCGGGGCCTGGGGCCTGGGGGGTTCCCCGCGGCCCAGGGGGAGGGGGCTGGGGTGTGGGCCAGGCTCCCGGGCAAAACCCAGCAGAGCAGGTCAGGGCTGTCCACCGCGCCGGTCGGGCCTGGCTCCCCGCCTGTTTGCTTCTGATGAAATCCTCTACATCATCCTCCCGCCGCCGCCCCGCCCTGCGCCCAGCCCCGCTGGCCCGTCCACCGCCCTGGGCCTCCGTTTCTCCTCCCCTGCGGCTCGCTCTGTCTTGGCATCTGGCCGGGCACGGCCACCACCCTCCTCTGCCCTGCACCCCCCTCCCGCGCCCCTCCCTCCGCAGGGCCCCCGGGGCCCCTCCTGCCCGGGATGGATTCCTCCAGTCCCTCCTGGTCAGCCCAGCCCCCTCCGGGCTGCGCCGTGGCCCCCTGGGGCCCGCCGCCCCGCCCCCACACCGGGCACTACCCGCCCAGACGCCCCCACAGCGCTGACCTACATAGCCCAGCCCGGGGGAGGGGCTGCGAGCCCCCCCGCCCTCCCCGCCGCCCCTCGCCCGTGGCCAACCCCGGAAGGTGAATTCCGGCGGCGGCGGGCCGGCTCGCGCCCCCACCCCAAATTCTGGGGGATGGAGCGAGCCCCAAGGCGCGGCTGCGGCGGCCTCCCCGGGTCCCCGCCGGCTCCGCGACCTCCCCCGCCGCCCCCGCCTCTGTCTGGGCTTCTCCGAGCCCGACTGCGGCCGTCAGGCCTCTCCGCCCGGTGTTGTTGTTTTGCTCCACCGAGAAGCCCCCTACCCACGCCCCCTGCGCTGCCGCCCTCCGCCCGCCCGGCCCAGGGCGGCTCCGCCGGCGGCGGGTGGGGCGCGGCGCTGTTTGCATGCAGCAGTTTGGGGGTGCGCTGGCGCCGACCCCCGCGCGCACGCACAGACACACAGACGCACGGACACACAGGCAGCCAGATGGACACACAGACACAGACACAGACACACGCGCACACGCGCGCGCGCGCAACCCCCCACCCTCCCCAACGCCCTGCCGGGAGCGGCGACAACCGCTCCCCGCCCGCCCCCGGCGCACGGGGACACGGGGGGACCCGGACGGACCCGGACGGACCCGGACGCGCGGACACGGCCCGGCGCCGCGGGGCCCTTCCCCGGGGGCCACGCAGACCCGCGCCTGCGCCCCCCGCGCGCGGCGGAGACGCCCCCCGCGCGCGGAGAGCCCCTGCCCGCGGGAACGCCCGCCCCCGGAGAGCCCCGGTCCGCGGAGACGCCCGGTCCCCGGAGACCCCCGCCCCCGGAGACCCCCAGTCCGCGGACGCCCCCGCCCCCGCCCCCGGAGACGTGCCCCCGCGCAACAAAGCGCGCGCCCGCGCGCCCTCCCGCCCGCGGGAACCCCCGCCCGCGGAGCCCCCCGCCCGCCCGCCCGCGGACCCCCGTCCCCGGAGCCCGCGCCCGCCCGCCCGCCGCCCGCGCGCACTCACCGTCCTGCGTGGGGGTGGCCCCGCCGGGCGCCCCGCACGCCAGGAGCAGCAGCAGCGGCAGCGGCAGCGCGCGCGGGGCCCCCATGGCTCGGGCGGCCGCTCTCGGGCCGCTGTCCGGCCGCTGTCCGGCCGCTGTCCGGCCGCGGGGAGCCCGGCCGGGGACGCAGGAGCCGCGGGCGGCGGGCGCGCCGGCTAAATAGGACGCGGAGCGAACCATTCCGGGCGGCGGGGGGACGCGGGGGCCGCGCCGCCGCAGCCCCGCGCGTGGACGCGCCCGCCGCTCCCGGGGGACCCCGCTGCGGGGCGCCGCCCTCCCGTCCCCGCCGCCGGGGACCCGGGCGGCCGGGCGCGGCGACCCCCGGGGCGGGCGCCCCGCGCGCTGCCCCGGAAGCCCCCCGCCCCGCCCGGGGCGGTCTCTGCGCGTCCTGCCCGCGGCCCGGGTCCGCGCCAGCCCCTTCCCGGGGCCCGCGACCCCCGCCGGGGCCCCGGGCCCGGTGCCGCGCTGTCCCCTCCGGGGTAGAGGGGTCGATCCCGCACCCCGGCTGGGACGCTCAGCACCGGGGGCGCTGCCTCCCGGAGCTGGAAGGTTCTGGGAGGGAGTGGGTCCCACCCGTCCCAGCCAGGCCAAGGGGGTCCCGGGGGCCTCCACCCGGGGAGCACCAGGTGCCTTCCACGCCGGGACCTGGGTCGGGTCTGAACTGCGGAACCCCCGGGGCCCCCCCACTCCTGGACTGGTTTCTCCTCCTCTCCCGCACCCCTCCCCGCGCGCCCTCCCCGCCTCTCCTCTTCAGGTCTCTGTGGCGGCCTGTGACCTAGGAATTGCCAGGGAAGCAAGAGGAAAGGAGGAAAAGTTCTGCGCAGATGGTGGTGGTGGGGGGGGGGGGGGGGGGGGAGGCCGGAGAATGATTCCTGGAGGGTCCTCGGGAGCCAGAAGGCTGCCCGCTGGTGCTCTCTCCCTCCCTCCCTCCTCTCCTCTCTCCCTCCCTCCTCCCTCCCTCCCTCTCTTCTCTCTCTCCCTCCCTCCTCCCTCCCTCCCTCTCTTCCCTCTCTCCCTCCCTCCTCCCTCCCTCCCTCTCTTCTCTCTCTCCCTCCCTCCTCCCTCCCTCCCTCTCTTTTCTCTCTCCCTCCCTCCTCCCTCCCTCCCTCTCTTCTCTCTCCCTCCCTCCTTCCCTCCCTCTCCTCCCTTTCTCTCTCTCCCTTCCTCCCTCCATCTCTCCCTCCCTCCCCTCTCTCCTTCCCTCCCTCCCTCTCCCCTCTCTCCTTCCCTCTCTCCTGCCCTCTCCCTCCCTCTCACCTTCCCTCCCTCCCTCCTCTCTCTCCCTTTCTCTCCCCCTCCCTCTCTCCTAACCTCCCTCCCTCTCTCTCTCTCCCTCTCCCTTTCTCTCCCCCCTTTCCTCCTGCCCTCTCTCAATTCTTCTCTCCCTCCCTCCCTCCCTCCCCTCTCTCCCTCCCTCCCTCCCTCTCCCCTCTCTCCTTCCCTCTCTCCTGCCCTCTCCCTCCCTCTCACCTTCCCTCCCTCCCTCCTCTCCCTCCCTTTCTCTCCCCCTCCCTCTCTCCTAACCTCTCTCCCTCTCTCTCTCTCCCTCTCCCTTTCTCTCCCCCCTTTCCTCCTGCCCTCTCTCAATTCTTCTCTCCCTCCCTCCCTCCCTCCCTCTCTCCTGAAAAGCCTGGGTGACACCTACTCACGCCCTTTCCACTGGCATTCAGCCCACTTCCAGGGACCTGCCCGGGGAACAGTTTCCACCAGCCCCCTCCTCCGGGGCTTGTGAGGGTGAGATGGAGGGTCCAGGGAGGTGAGGGTGGGCCTTGTGCACTCAGCGCTCGAGAGGGCAGGAGGCCAGGGCTCTGGATGGGCAGCGGGGAGGAGGGACTGGGTGGTCTTGGCCAGGATGGGCCCTGGTGCTGTGCGTCTGAGGCCGCAGGGCCAGTGCAGGGGAGCAGAGCTCTTCGGGACAGGCTGGCAGGAAGAAGCTGGTCCTCCCCTGCCTCCTCTTGCCACCTCCGCCATCAGCATCCGCTCTGCCCTGCTCGAGGACCTGGGAAGTGGAGGCTGAGATTAGCCTTGTGGGCTCAAGGGGCGTCCGCTGGGAGGGACCCCTGTGGCAATGGCCGTGGTGGGGTGCCCTGGAGCTCACCTTGCAGAAGAACTCCTCACCTGTGCAGGCGCTCTGAGCTGGGGCTCCCCCTGGGAAGGCCGGCCCAGGCCAGCGTGGGTCCCTGTGAGGAGAGTTGCTGTAGCAGGGGCCGTGCTGGGGTCTCTATGGTTACGTGGCTCTGAAAGGCCATGGCCTCAGCTGTGCTCCCCAGAGTGGGCTGAGGGGGGGGCGCGCTTGGCTCCTGGGCAGCCCGGGCCGGGGGTGTGGAATGTGAGGTTGGCACGGTGCTGGCTGGGTGTGCATTCCTGTCCCCACTCCCGGGCCACGTGAGGGACGCGCCCTATTCATGGGGCAGCGGGTGGCGGGTGCGAGCTGGCCTGGCCTCTGCCGACCCTTGGGCTCCCGGGGGCTTTTTCTTCCCCGGCAAACTCGCGTGGGCTCCGCTTTAATTTTCCACCCAACTAACCAGCCGTCTCCTGCTGCCGCTCACTCCCGCCATCCAGTTTTAATTAACCCCATCCTAATAATAGTCTCGGTGTACTTTTCACACTAACCTTAATTGAATTCTAATTCACATCCCAGCCCTACTGCAGCACGGACTCGAACGCTGACTCCGCTTGAGCCTGCAGCCGCCCCTCGCCAGGCCCCCCGGGATGGGCTTGAGAGGCTCAGGCCGAGTGATGGGATCTTCCCGGCCCTACAGCTGTGGCAAGAAGAGGGTCCCTCGGGCTCTGCCGTCTGTAAACAGTGGACTCCGATCCACTCCCCTGGCCTGGAGGCTGGAGCGGTCTCTCCAAACTTGGGCACTGCTGCCTCTAGAGTGCTTTATGCCCAGAGATGCCCTTGCCCGGAGCTACCTTGTGTCGGGTGGGGGGTGGGTCTGTGTTATCTCTGCCCTGCAGGGCTGCCCTGAAAAGCTTGAATCTTGTCATTTTTTTTTAAATTTTTTATTAGCGAATCACTGTGAGGTATACAGTTACAGACTTACCAACTTTCATGCTTGCATTTCAGTCATACGATGGTCGAGTACCCATCCCTCCACCAGTGCCTGTTTTCCACCACCAATGGTCCCAGAATCCCTCCCACCACCCCCACCCCGTCCCCTCCACCCCACCCCACCCTGCTTCTGTGGTCGCTCTCTCCTTTTGGGTGTTGTGGTTTGCAGTAGAGGCATTAAGTGGCCATCATGTTCGGTCTAGAGTCTCCGTTCAGCCCACATCTCCCATCCCGAGCGGGCCCTCCTAGCACCCTTTACTTGGTGGTCCCTTCTCTATCAGAGCTGCCTTTTCCCCCAGAATGCGAGGTCAGCTTCTAAGCTGTGGAGTTATCCTCCTGGTCCTTACCTCTACTGTTCTTGGGTGTTGGTCTCCTGTGTAAACTCACACAAAATAGGGGGCACGGCACCCACAGCGGCGGTGGCTCTATCTCTCCCGCCACCCGCATTCAGTAGTCTCACCCTTCTCCCACCCCGGAGAGGTCGATGGCGATGGTCAGGCAGAGGAAGGAACGAGGGCCAGGCTGGTAGGTATTAGTCGTAGTTTATTCTGATTCTCTCCTCATCTGTCTCTGCTCCTGTCTCTCTCTGTCTCTCCTGTCTCCGACACCCCCCCCCCCCCCCAATCTACAGTCTCCTTATATCTCTCTCCAAGAGAATGGGGGAAACAATTACAAATAGGTGTGGTCACAATCAATAGGGGTGGAGATCAACGGGGGTAGAAATCTTAGCCTCAGGGAAGACCGCTCCTAGGACAGATCCTTCCTCAGCAGGAGGACCCACCCTAGAGCAGAATCCCATGGGCGGGCGTGCCTCTCCTCTCCTTGTCCGACAAGCATATAAGAATATAATATAAATCATTTTGTATGGATACAGTAAGAAATATCTTAAACTTATAGAATTGCTCTCCTAGGGCCATCTTGATCTCAGACTGCGGTGCTCAGGCCAGATAGTCTTTCCCACCCCTAGCAGGATCCTAGTCTTGTCGTTACCTTGGATCATGACAGCATTTGTCCATGATCAAACTCTTAACTTATAGTTAAGAATCGTGGCACTTTGGCCTGGCCCATTTCGCTGCCAGGGTAGCTCACCGCTTGCCCTGGGTCCATTCAGTCCCTCGTCGGGACCCTGCTTTTGGGGTGTTAGGAACTAAGGGCAACTGAGGCTAAGTCGAGAAAGCAGATGCCCGGGAGTGAATAATATTCAAGGCCAATCAAATCCTAAGTTACAGAGCATAATGTTAATGGTCTTCCTGTATCTATACAAAAAGGATATTACCTTAAGGTAAACTATTCATAAGGCATAGGGAGAGGAGAAAGGCAATATTTCACTCATACATATAAAATCATAGATTTCTGGGAAACTGATCTTACAGATTAACAGTCTGATTAAGGGGGAAGCTGATTAACTGGGTGGGAAGGAGAGCATAGGGAAGACTGTTTACATGTTTACATGTAAACACAATGGAAGTGGAAGTGCCTCTGGAGCACTGTGATGGGTGTAACCAGATTAATGGGTGTAACCAGATAAACCTAAGCTTCTTGTGGAAGGACAAAGCAATGTTACCCAACAGTCTCCCATTCTGTTACTTTATATGCCACAAATGGAATCTTGTCATTCTTTCCTCAAGAAACAAGAAAACTGGAAGAAACAAGAAAACTGGATTCTCAGTTGTGTCTGCCCAATTAAGCTGTCGTGTTTATAAACACTGGAGCCTGATAAGCCCTTCCCCGCAGACATGATCAGAGAACAGCAGTTGTCTGGCAGCCCTCCTGCACACCAGGAATTCCACAGTGGCAAGGTGACCCAGATAAGGCCACACACACACACACACACACACACACACCCCTGTCTGTCTGTCCGTCCGTCCGTGGCCCACAACCTGGTGAACCCACTTGGCAGCTGTGAGTCTGCACCGTCCTCTGACTGTGGAAATTCTGGTCCTCTGAGGTGGCTGGGAAATTTGAGGCGAGCCGAGTGCGTCTGGGCTCCAAGCCTTCTGGACGCGGCGTGGTTTGCGTGAGCTGTACATAAGGAGGGTGAGTGGGAAGGCGGAATAAGTGGCTGATAGGGTTGACTAATCAGCTGGGTCCTGAGCCAGCTCCCCAGAGGGGCTCTAGAAAGTTCCCGGGGGTGGCATTC